ATGAAAACATTGATGCCCCCTGTTTCTGCCGGTGGTTGATGAGCGACGCACAAAAAGCTAACATCACAAACATGAGGTGAATTTTTTCAGGATGGCGCGAGACTGGGAGCCAGAGCTGGGGGGTGGTGGGGGGGGTTTAAGCGAGTTTAACTGCCGTTTCTGGTGTTTTTTTCTCGTGCACAACAACAACAACAACCACCAGAGGACAACCTGAGATGTTTTCTTTCTCCTGCTTAAAAAGCTGGAGTCCTGTGGCCCAGCGGCAGATGAGACGCCACTTCTTCATCCTTTAAGAAACAACACATTTGTAAGGTTTAAAATATTTGTTTTCTCTTTCTACTTTTGACTGCGTTACAGACAACAGCACCAAAGTCTGGCCAAAAAAATGTCGGGCTTGTGTGTGACCATTGGAAACAGAGCTCGTCTTAAAAGATGCTGACTCCTTATACGTCCAATCCAGCAGCCAGAAGGACAGAAGGCAAAGGGCAGATATGCAGGATTATGGATCAAGAGTTTGATTCAAAAATATTTGTTCATCAGTTTGTCCTGTTAAGTTGTTGATTTATTCTTTAAAAAAGCAACAAAAAGCTGTGTTTTATTCGTGTTATCAGCTGTTTTAAGAACTGATCTCTCTGTTGATGCACTGCGCACGAAACACCCACACTGGTGGAAAGATCAAGAACAAACAAAAACAAAACAAATAAACGAATGTAAATTTGGATGGAAATGTTTGCGATGTCACAGATGTGAGCGTGTCTTCACCTTCATGTGTCGTCGCCTTCCGTCTGAAGCGCAAGCAGCTCCTTGTGCTGGCGGGCGATGAAAGTTGACGGGCGGCGTACTCCAGCAGGGCGGAGAAACACGAACAGCAGACACACGGCCATCCAGATGTCATGGCTTTTACGTTAGGACACCTGTTGGGGGGGGGGACAGGGAAGTAAAGAAAGTGTTAGATGGTTGTTGGGTTTAAAGGCTTTTTGTGGTTGCGTTCACGAATCTCTTTAGCAACCGTGTCTGATGATAAAGCTGGCTAATAAAGGAACTCTAAACGCGGATAAAGAGCTGCGTGTTCCTCTTTGTTTCGTTCAGAGTTTGGTTCGGTGTCAGGTGGAGATAAAAACCTTCCATAAAAATTTAATTAATATTGTGTCCAGAGTTGCACCGTCAGGAGAGACAAACCAGGCAAATGCTCGCGGGCCCCCATGAGGAAAACGGGGGGGGCCCCCTAATGACCCCTACATTATGGCAACATTTTCAACGACAAAACTATTAAACCCCCTTCATCCTCTCTGTGACGCTGTTGCTGCCCCAAACCCCCTCAGTGGGCCCCTGATATGTTGTGCGTAGCCTAGCGTCTCGTGAGACATTTTAGGCGACACTGTGAACTGTAAGCTCTACTGATAGTCTGCATGCGAGGCGTTTAGGGGAACATATGCGGAATTGTCTTTGCCTAAAATTACTGATGTATACGCACTTTTGAACTTTTCGTCAACTTTGACCCTCAACAACGGTTTAAATTTAAACTTATAGACAGGTTGTGTTAATGTCAACATATTCAACAGCACTAAACCTCGAGTATTGCTCTGTAGTTCAATTCCACATTAAAAGACATTTGGGATTGGACGTATTTAATTAAATTATAATACATACATATATAATGAAGGTGCTGACTTAGCACACACAACACACACACACAGTAGTTCATACTTCTTAATGTTATGCCTTTGCCAATATGAAAACAAAGGGCAAACAGTTTTTATTATTATTATTTTTATTATTTTATAATATAGTCCCTAATGGGAGCAACTGCAAACAGTCTGCACGAGGCCAGTGGCTGAGGAAGGATTTGTGACGTGCACAGACAAGACGCCGGTGTGACGTCTGGACAGTTGTGGTTAATCCAGGTTGGAGGGATAATTACTGAGAAAGGAAAAAGAAAACCTCTTCCCCACTCGCACACTGCGAGGTCAGAACGTAAAAACCAGTGCTGTGCTGGGAAAACTGCGAAATGGACCAGAAAGACACAACAACACGAGAAGTGCCGATCACGGTCGAATGCCAGCAGGCTTTTACATACGGCGAGCTCGGTGTGAATTCAGAGATGGACAAGGTTGCAGGCCTGCCCAGATAATAAGGCTAAATGAAGTCTGGTGGATCCGGAATTTGGAATATTTTTGGGGGTTTTGAACTGAATGCTATTTTCTGACATTTTATAGACTTGTTAATGATTGATTAAAAAATGTATCTAAAGGAAAATAATAATAATAACTAATAATAATGATAATAATGATAGTAACAACTAATAATAATGATGATGAAAACTTGTAGCTGACTCCATCTTTCAACCGGAACTTAAATTAAACTTAAATTGAACTCAATTAAACTGATTCCTGGCACAATGTCCTCACACGGCAGCACCTGTGTCGTCTCACCGGCCTTGTGAGGACGCGAGGTCCTCATAAATACAGAAACACGCGGACACGCTCACACACTCTAAAACGTGTCAAACTCAATCAAGCAGCTGTAGTCACGGCAGGCACGATACACATGCCCTGCAACACCAAAACGCACGACAGCACTCGCGGATGCACTCATGCATGTTCACCGGGTGTATAGATACAATCTCCCCCTCCCTCTCTATGACACACACACACACACACACACACACACACAAATTCAACACTGTACAGATTGTTCACTGCAGACTCTTCGTGCATTTCTTGTGGGGTGTTTGCGTTTTCTTTCCCTCCACCCACAGAAACACAAACCACCAGTTTCACAATCAAGCAGCGCCTCAGTTTTCCCCACAGGCCTGACGGCTTTACTCCTGACTGATGAACACACCCGCACATATAGAGCTGATTGATTAAATGCTTCAAATACAGAAAAGAAAAAAAAAACCCTGATACATCTCAACAGTCCTCCGGGGAAAATATGACAGTGTCGGGGCTTACTAAATATATCCAAAGCAGGTTCGAGAAATTAAATAAAAGTGACATATTTTCAGGTCTCCACTTCATCTTCATTTTAGCCAACATCATCCTCGTGCACTCGGAGACAGTTAATGAAATATTTAAGGGGGTTTTGAGGAAGATATGTTTGTTTTTGAGTTCACAGGGACGTCCAAACTAAGAGAGATGAATGAGGTCGATGTGATTACTGTTAAAATGCTGTTTTCCATCAAGCAGGAGCAAATGAACCAGCACACACACACACACACACACACAATTACAGATATTAAAAAATAATTCTTAGACGTTTTAAACATTAAAAATGTACATCTTACCTCCATGTCGACTTAAAACCTGAGATTCAAAGTTCATTCTTGATCGTTGAGAAAACAATCTCACCACAAGGTCCCTTTAGTGGCTGTTCTGGAGCTTTCGATCATATTTCATGATCTGTTTTCTGTTTCCAAGATCAATTTTAGCCAACGTTCATGAGAAGAATTTAAATTTGAACATTTCCATTAAAATTGCTTGGTGATTTCAATTAAAATTTTTGTAATAAATTCCATTTAGTTGAACACATTTTCCAGTATGTACTTTACTTGAGTTTTATTTATTTATTTTACCCCACTACACTTTAAAGACAAATGTCCTTTTGACTCCACTACATTTCTATGAAGTACTCTTACTTTGAAGCAGAGCTTTTAGTCAGTGAATGAATTTCCTTTTATTCTGAAAAACGTGATAGATCATACACTGCGTTCCTCACAGGAGAATAAATATAAAGTAAATAATAATTTATTTTTAAAATCAAGTACTTTAAGACTTAAGTAAAAATCTGACTGAACCACTTCCACTTGTATTGGAGGATCTATACTCTCTCCTGTGAAACTGGTCAAACTCCATCTGCTGATGAGGGTAATGTGTTGTAACTGAAAGCTCCAGATCCACTAAATGGACTTTGTGGTGAGAGCGGTTTCTCAGCCGCTGTGAGTGCCTCAGTGAAAAGTCTGACAGTTGGCTTTTGGCAGGATGTTGATTATAATGTATTATCAAAAATAAAAGGCTCAAAGTGCATTAAAAGCAAGATTCAGTCAGGACACACACTCTCACACCGCTACACATCCAACTGAAAACGAAAACAAACATCATGTTGCTTCCTCGTAAATGATGCATTTTCACAAACAAAAGTTTTGGAGGAGGAAAAGTTCCCCTTCTCTTTCTTTTTGTCCTCCTCTGCGTCGTGAATCCATTATGAGCCTGGTCTCTGTTTGCCCTGCAGCTCAGCCTTTAATCATGCTCAACGCTCCGCCCATGAAACATTGATGCCCCCTGTTTCTGCCGGGTGATGAGCGACGCACAAAAAGCTAACATCAAACATGGAGTGAATTTTTCAGGATGGCGCGAGGACTGGGGAGCAGAGCTGGGGGGTGGTGGGGGGGGGGTTTAAGCGAGTTTAACTGCGTTCTGGTGTTTTTCTCGTGCACAACAACAACAACAACCACCAGAGGACAACCTGAGATGTTTTCTTTTCCTGCTTAAAAAGCTGGAGTCTGTGCCCAGCGGCAGATGAGACGCCACTCTTCATCCTTTAAGAACAACACATTTGTAGGTTTAAAATATTTGTTTTCTCTTCTCTGTTTGACTGGTTACAGACAACAGCACCAAAGTCTGGCCAAAAAATGTCGGGCTTGTGTGTGACCATTGGAAAACAGAGCTCGTCTTAAAGATGCTGACTCCTTATACGTCCATCCAGCAGCCAGAAGGACAGAAGGCAAAGGGCAGATATGGAGGATTATGGATCAGAGTTTGATTCAAAAATATTGTTCATCAGTTTGTCCTGTTAAGTTGTGTATTATTCTTTAAAAAAGCAACAAAAAGCTGGTTTTATTCTGTGTTATCAGCTGTTTAAGTGAACTGATCTCTCTGTTGATGCACTGCACGAAACACACAACTGGTGGAAAGATCAAGAACAAACAAACAAAACAAATAAACGAATGTAAATGTGGATGTAAATGTTTGCCGATGTCACAGATGTGAGCGTGTCTTCACCTTCATGTGTCGTCGCCTCCGTCTGAAGCGCAGCAGCTCCTTGTGCTGGCGGGCGATGAAGTTGACGGCGGCGTACTCCAGCAGGGCGGAGAACACGAACAGCAGACACACGGCCATCCAGATGTCGATGGCTTTTACGTAGGACACCTGTGGGGGGGGGGACGGGACGGGACAGGAAGTAAAGAAAGTGTTAGATGGTTGTTGGGTTTAAAGGCTTTTTGTGGTTGCGTCACGAATCTCTTAGCAACCGTGTCTGATTGATAAAGCTGCTGAATAAAGGAACTCTAACGGGATAAAGAGCTGCGTGTCCTCTTTGTTTCGTTCAGAGTTTGGTTCGGTGTCAGGTGGAGATAAAACCTTCCATAAAAATTAATAATTTGTGCCCAGAGTTGCACCGTCAGGAGAGACAAACCAGGCAAATGCTCGGGGCCCCCATGAGGAAAACGGGCCCCTAATGACCCCTCATACTGGCACATTTTGCAACGACAACTATAAACCCCCTTCATCCTCTCTGTGACGCTGTTGCTGCCCCAAACCCCCCTCAGTGGGGCCCCTGATGATGTGTGCTGTAGCTAGCGTCTACGTGAGACATTTAGGCGACATCTGTGAACTGTAGCGTCTACTGATAGTCTGCATGCGAGGCGTTTAGGGAACATCTGGGAATTGTCTTTCCTAAAATTACTGATTTATACGCACTTTGAACTTTTTCAACTTTGACCCTCAACAACGGTTTAAATTTAAACTTATAGACAGGTTGTGTTAAGTTCAACATAATTCAACAGCACTAAACCTCGAGTATGCTCTTGTACGTCAATCCAACATTAAAAGACATTTGGATTGACGTATTTAATTAAAATAAATACATACATATATAAGTGAAGTGCTGACTTAAGCACACACACACACACACAGAGTTGTGTTTCATACTTCTTATGTTACTGCCTTTGCAATATGAAAACAAAGGGCAAACAGTTTTTATTATTATTATTTTTATTATTTTTAATATAGTCCTAATGGGACAACTGGCAACAGTCTGCGAGGCCAGTGCTGAGGAAGGATTGTGGACGTGCACAGGGACAAGACGCCGGGTGACGTCTGGACAGTTGTGGGTTAATCCAGGTTGGAGGGATAATACTGAGAAGGAAAAGTAAACCTCTTCCCCCACTCCACACTGCCGAGGTCAGACGTTAAACCAGTGCTGTGCTGGGAAACTCCGAATGGACAGAAAGACACACAACACGAGGTGCGATCACCGGTCGAATGCCAGCAGCTTTTACATACGGCGAGCTCGGTGTGAAGCGAGATGGACAAGGTGAGGCCTGCCCAGATAATAAGGGCTAAATGAAGTCTGGTTGGATCATTGTCTGATTGCTATCTGCCAACCAAGTACCATTATTCAAGTGCATTCACCCCGGCCTGTCATTACAACTCTCCATCTCCACGTGCAATTACAGCGCGCAGCCTGAGAGGGAGATCCCTGCTCTGTTACAGAGAGAGTAAACCCACAATCAGCCGCTTAAAATCCAATTAAGCTATGACTTCAGATCACACACACACACACACACACACACACAATGCTTTTCATTGCTGCTCTGCCTTGTTGTCATTCGTGCTCGTCTTCACCGAGTCTGATGCCTATGAAAACATTTATCTTCCAATGAGCCCCCCCCCCCCCCCCGCGCCCGGGCGGCACACGAGNGCCGAGGTCAGACGTTAAACCAGTGCTGTGCTGGGAAACTCCGAATGGACAGAAAGACACACAACACGAGGTGCGATCACCGGTCGAATGCCAGCAGCTTTTACATACGGCGAGCTCGGTGTGAAGCGAGATGGACAAGGTGAGGCCTGCCCAGATAATAAGGGCTAAATGAAGTCTGGTTGGATCATTGTCTGATTGCTATCTGCCAACCAAGTACCATTATTCAAGTGCATTCACCCCGGCCTGTCATTACAACTCTCCATCTCCACGTGCAATTACAGCGCGCAGCCTGAGAGGGAGATCCCTGCTCTGTTACAGAGAGAGTAAACCCACAATCAGCCGCTTAAAATCCAATTAAGCTATGACTTCAGATCACACACACACACACACACACACACACAATGCTTATCATTGCTGCTCTGCCTTGTTGTCATTCGTGCTCGTCTTCACCGAGTCTGATGCCTATGAAAACATTTATCTTCCAATGAGCCCCCCCCCCCCCGAGCTGCTGAGGTCTAAACGGTCAACCGGTCCACTTGATTTGATGGTCATCCAGGCAGAGAGAGAGAGAGAGAGAGAGAGAGAGATGTGATGGTAAACTATCCCAAGTTACAGATTGATCTGAGATTAGAAAGATACGATTTAAAAAAGGGATTTAAAGCGGTGTATTCTGCTTTTGTGTGAAACAGTAAGTGTGAGCAGCCACAGAACCATAACAGGCTTTTTAAAATGAAACGATGAAAACTTTTTTTTTTTTTTTTTAAGAGCATAAAAATGATTTGGAGACACATAGAACAGGGTTGGAGGCAGATTTCCACTTTCAGGTGCAGTTTTTGTTTCACTGAGTAATATTTAGTTTTGGAAACTGTCTCTGCTGCTTTAGTATTTTATTGTGGATTTCTCTGGTCACTGGGAACACATGCAGATTCAAAAATCATAAACTCAAACACATGAAACAACCTTTTAAACCTGCACAAACACAAGATACATCGTCCTCTGGGGTCGGTTGAAAGGCAGTGAGGAAAAGTAAAGCACAAAGTGAAGTAGATGAAGCAGACCGAGGGAGAGTGGGTGCATCTAATTATTGGATATCATGTCTCTACACATATTTCCTGGGGGTCTTTTTGTTTTACTGCCAATTTGTAGCTTTATAACTTTCTCTAGTGGTTAATGTTTACAATCAGAAATAAACTGAAATAAGCTTATTGGTTTTTGTTTAAATTTTAATGAGCATTCAAGACGTCTAAAATTTGGCAGAAGGAAAAGCCACAAATTAAAAATCAAGATTTAATTAAAAAATGTATCTACTGAGGTTCAGATCGCTGAGTCAAAGCGTCGGCCCGGTGCCGGTACCGGGGAGGCTGAGCCGGTCTCCCCGCTCCGTCCCGTCTCTGTGAGGCTGAGCGCTCCTGACAGACAAACTGACCAGCGGCCTGCAGAGCTGCAGCTGAGGTGGCGCTTCTGAACTCATGCTTCACAGGACAATGTTCAGAGAAGAAGAGGAAGAAGACAGTGGAGGACTGCAGCAGCCAGTCAGTCAGTCAGTCAGTCAGTCAGTCAGTCAGTCAGTCAGTCAGGGCTTCTGCTCTGACGAATATTATTCATCTTATATTCCAATTAGTGTTTATACTGTATATCCAGCCAAACACAGTTTCTGCTGCAACCTCGTCTCCATGAAAAGAAAGTTTTTCTGCATCGAACGACTTAATTAACTACATTTCCTCGTTACACCAATAACAAAAAACTTTACATGACTGCAATTATGTTTCCTTCTCAACGTATTTGCTGTCACACGCGAGCTGTATGGACGTCTCATTCGTAGGAGACAGTGCTGTCAGGTCACCTGATCGTCACTGTCGTCTCCAGGTGAACTGGTGCCACAACCTGATGTCAGCGGCTTGTGCAATAACATTAACATGGACGGCTCTGCTAAATTATCCACAACTTCCTCTCCTCCTCCTCCTCTCTCATTTCCTCCTCTCCTCTCTCTCCTCACCTCACCTCTCTTCTTTCATTATTTCATTTCCTCTCTTGTCTCCTCTCCTCTCTAGTTTCCTCCTCTCCTCCTTCTTCTTCTTTGCCTGACACGGTGCAGCAGTCCTCTGTGACATGTGAAAAGAGCTGTGTGTTTAGGTGTGTGTGTCTTCTATCAATCACACACACACACACACACACACACACACACACTCAGATGTGTGTGTGTGTGTGTGTGTGTGTGTGAGAGAGCAGTATGCCTACCTAAGCTCAGCTGTGCTGTGTGATCATTATTGTGACAGCTGAACTGCAGAGGAATCACGGTTCACTTGTTCAATTTTTAGAGCGCATGAAGCACCTAATGTCAACAAACAGAGAGAGTGTGTGTGTGTGTGTGTGTGTGTGAGTCTGTGTGTGTGTGTTGGGGATTACAGCTTCCCTGGACATAATTATACAATCCTACTGGCTCACGCAAACACAGAGCATTTTTCCCCCTTTAATCTGAAAATCCCTCACAGGAAAAAGATTTCTGTTGTTTTTTAAAAGTTATTCTTTTCATCTTTGTCTTGAACGTCTCTCCTCCCCTCCCTCTGTCTCCCCCCTCTCCATCCACTCAAACATAAATATGTCAATGAAAGGACATTTTTTAATCTCTCCCTCATGTCTTTGTTTCTGTCTTTTTTCTCTCCTCAGCCGCTGGTGCTGAAAGGTGCGTTTGATTTGTCCTCACCTTGGGCAGGGAGGCTCTGGAACCGGAGCTCTGCGTGGTCATGGTCAGCACGGTGGTGATGCCCAGACCCACCCGGGCGGGCGCGGCGTCCATGTTGATCCAGAAGGAAACCCAGGACAGGATGACGATGAGCAGCGAGGGGATGTACATCTGGATCAGGTAGTAACCCATCTGACGCTCCAGGTGGAAACGAGCCTCGATACAGGTGAATTTACCTGGAGGAGGAGGGAAACAAGGAAGAAAGGAGGGAATAGAGAAGATTTAATTTTTTTATTACCAATGAGGGAGAGATCTCTGGAAGAAGAGAAGTAGTAAGAAACATTTGATGGATGATTTGGAGGAAACCGGATGTTGAGGGGAATGAAAGGAAAAGACAGATTATAGAAAGAAAATTTAACTGATTATTATTCTAATGACATTCTGGCAATCTGACCTCTGGTGAACACACTGTCGCTGGAAACCATTACACTCACACTTATCTGTAGGTGGAAATGAACCTGCTGAACAAAAGAACAAGACTCAGAGATCCTCAGGCAACGAGAGCGTCAGAGAGAGTTTTTGTCTTTCTAGAAAAAAGCTGAAATATATATAATAAATTTCTGTCCATATTCTAAAATAGATGAATATCTGCTACTATACTGAACATATAGACACCTGCTTATTGTTTTAATGTGTTTTTGCCACTTTTGTGCCAAAATGTAGTTTCCTCAAAAAAGCCAGTATGGAGCGTGACGTTTAAAGGTCCCATCCAGTGTAAAGGTCTGTGTCCATGTGTAGTGTGATTATAGATCAGCTCTAGCTTCTATATTAATACTGTGAAAGTATCAAAGCCTCAGTCCACAGAGAAATGCACACAGCCTGTATTCAGAAACTGAGCCTTAAAACCAGCCGTCAGGACTTCTGGAACTTTGTGATGTCACAACAAAGCAGTCACCAAGCCCCGCCAACCTGGACCCACCATCCAAACCTTTACAGGATTTGGTTTCTCTGAGTGTTTTTACCTGAAATCTGCTGTATTTTTATTGGATCGCTCAGAAAACAGTCAGTCAATCAGAAGAGAGGCTCTGAGCCTCCTCTCTTCTGATTGGCTCACCGACCTGTTGTTACTAGAAAATAGAAAAATTGTTTCTGTTCTGCAAAGAGTTTTTAGTATCAGTTGGTTTCAATATGTTTTCCTGTATTTTAACTACAAAACAATAGACTTTTAACCAGCAGCAGCCTTGGCCAACTGTGACTAGTCTTTATTTTTAGTTTTTCAGTCTCTGTTTGTTTGTACTATTAAAACATATTGGTAAAAGACATAAACTGTATCTAGACGATAAATAAATAATGACTTTTTACTATGCTGTACAGCAGAAGAGTCTTTTGTCTTTACATATGGACAGAAAACTGCGTGAGTTAGTGAAACATGAAAAATCATCTTCAAACATATCTACACATGCTTCATGAGCTTAGTCAGTCAATTATACAGAGATGACCGAGGTGAAGTAGAAACTGACAGAGAAGGTGCCGTTGTTTCAACATTAAAGTTTGAGCTCTAAAGATTTATGTCTGTGAAAATTAAAAGCAGCATCACGATTTATAAAAAGGTACAAAACCATTTAGTTTAAATCTATTCTGGGGTTCAGCGTTGTAATAGGAACGGAGATGGTTGCACCTTCCAAAAAGGTTATTATTTTGTAATGAGGTGTCTTCAAAGATATTCACTCCTCAGTTTCATATTCATGGAGACAGTCGTTTTCGTCTCAGCGGGTGTCCTGTTTTTCAACATGGACGTCTCGTTTGGAAATGAGACATCAAGAACACGAGGTTGTTTGCAGGAGAGAGAGAGAGAAATAATAACGCTGGTCGATGTTTAAACTCTACGTAAAAGCAAAAAATGTTCTTTCATCAGTTTCCCTGAGGCGGTGCGGCTCCATTAGCAGTGAAGTGTGTTTCTGAATTCCCTGATATCTCCATCTGAAAGGGCACATTATCTAAACACTGACACAGACCTGTCCCCTGGAAAAGCAGGTGGAAATGATGAGGGAGGGAGCGAGAGAAGGGGGTGGGGGGGGGGGGGGGGGAGGAGTTGTGACGTGACATGAAAAGGAAGGATGAGCCAGAGCGGGGGGAAAAAAAAAGGAAGAGACGTTGACAAACTCTGAGACAAATCGCCACTATCTCCAGCACGCACACTAAAGCCAAGTGTAAATCACAGGCGGCAAACCGGAGGGACACAAATACCCAGAACCCCCCCCCCCCCCCAACGAAATGAACAAATGTTAATTGAAAACATGGTTGAATATTTGAAAAACAAACACGGGATGCCAGGTTCTGGATTTACGCCGCCACTCGCTCGTTGCTATAGCGATGTGAAAGGCGGTTCGCAGCTCGTCGCCACGTGGGAGGAGCAAACGATCTTCCTGCCTCTTCGCTCCCTCGTGAGACGGACGACGCTTCTGTGTGGTGGAGTTCTCAAAGCTGTCAGTGTCGTTCCTCATATTGCTCACTGGGGGGCGCCAGAGGGGCTCAAAGTCTCAAATCAGACACTTCAGTCGTACACCGGCACATGTGGCCCGTAGTTACGTTTGGTTGCTAGGCGACATCTAGTGGTCGTAGTAATTATGACAGGAGCAGTGGGAGGAGTGTGGTGACGTAGTATAAAGAGAGACCAAGTCCACGTCAGGAGGAGGATGGTGTTCGGTTCTCTGGAGGTGGGAGGAGTTTGACGAGTCCTCATCATCGTCATCGTACGAGCATCTTTCCAACGTGCATTTGTGTGTTTGTTGATAAATGAATCATCTAATTAGCAGTGGAGATCCTAGACACTGGAGGGCACCTAAACGCCTCACACGCAGACCATAAGTAGACAAAACAAAAATACAGATGTTCCTTGAATGCCTCACATGTAGGCAATGATTAGACACTAGCACTTCGGAGGTTATGCACTGTATAGTGTCTTTATGGGAGGTTAAAGGGGGTTAATAGTTGTCGCTGCAAGCATTTGCCTGGTTTCCCTCCTAAAGGTGCGTCTCTTTCTTGTAACAAATACATGAAGACGAAGCTGATAATTTCCTCCCTCCTGGTGTTAAATTAGTTTGTCTTGACTTTAGTTGCAGTCTTAAGCCGGTTAGCTGCTCACACAGACATCCAGGTGATCTGCAGCTGCCTGTCGTCGTCTGCCAGCAGCACCGTTAGTCCTTGTGAGGCTGTGGAGGGAAAGTAACTGGATGTTTATGCTCACGGCATGTTGTCGTAGAAGAAGGGGGGGGGGGGGGGGGGGCCCCCACCCCCCCTTCTCTCGCTCCTCCTCATCATTTCACCTGCTTTTCCAGGGAGACAGGTCTGTGTCAGTGTTAGATAATGTTGCCCTTTCAGATGGAGATATCAGGGAATTCAGAAACACACTTCACTGCTAATGGAGCCGCACCGCCTCAGGGAAACTGATGAAAAGAACATTTTTTGCTTTTACGTAGAGTTTAAACACCGACCAGGTTATTATTTCTCTCTCTCTCTCTCTCCTGCAAACAAACCTCGTGTTCTTGATGTCTCATTTCCAAACGAGACGTCCATGTTGAAAAACAGGACACCCGCTGAGACGAAAACGACTGTCTCCATGAATATGAAACTGAGGAGTGAATATCTTTGAAGACACCTCATTACAAAATAATAACCTTTTGGAAGGTGCAACCATCTCCGTTCCTATATACAACGCTGAACCCCAGAATAGATTTAAACTAAATGGTTTGTACCTTTTTATAAATCGTGATGCTGCTTTTAATTTTCACAGACATAAATCTTTAGAGCTCAAACTTTAATGTTGAAACAACGGCACCTTCTTTGTCAGTTTTCTACTTCACACCTCGGTCATCTCTGTATAATTGACTGACTAAGCTCATGAGCATGTGTAGATATGTTTGAAGATGATTTTTCATGTTTCACTAACTCACGCAGTTTTCTGTCCATATGTAAAGACAAAAGACTCTTCTGCTGTACAGCATAGTAAAAAGTCATTATTTATTTATCGTCTAGATACAGTATGTCTTTTACCAATATGTTTTAAATAGTACAAACAAACAGAGACTGAAAAAAAAAAACTAAAATAAAGACTAGTCACAGTTGGCCAAGGCTGCGGCTGGTTTAAAAGTCTATTGTTTTGTAGTTAAATACAGGAAAACATATTGAAACCAACTGATACTAAAAAACTCTTTGCAGAACAGAAACAGTTTTTCTATTTTCTAGTAAACAAAGGTCGGTGAGCCAATCAGAAGAGAGGAGGCTCAGGAGCCTCTCTTCTGATTGACTGACTGTTTTCTGAGCGATCCAATAAAAATACAGCAGATTTCAGGTAAAAACACTCAGAGAAACCAAATCCTGTAAAGGTTTGGATGGTGGGTCAAGTGTGGGCGGGGCTTGGTGACTGCTTTGTTGTTGACATCACAAAGTTCCAGAAGTCCTGACGGCTGGTTTTAAGGCTCAGTTTCTGAATACAGGCTGTGTGCATTTCTCTGTGGACTGAGGCTTTGATACTTTCACAGTATTAATATAGAAGCTAGAGCTGATCTATAATCACACTACACATGGACACAGACCTTTACACTGGATGGGACCTTTAAACGTCACGCTCCATACTGGCTTTTTTGAGGAAACTACATTTTGGCACAAAAGTGGCAAAACACACATTAAAAACCAATAAAGCAGGTGTCTATATGTTCAGTATAGTAGCAGATATTCATCTATTTTAGAAAATGACAGAAAATTTATCTAGTAAGTTTCAGCTTTTTTCTAGAAAGACAAAAAACTCTCTCTGACGCTCTCGTTGCCTGAAGGATCTCTGAGTCTTGTTCTTTTGTTCAGCAGGTTCATTTCCACCTACAGATAAGTGTGAGTGTAATGGTTTCCAGCGACAGTGTGTTCACCAGAGGTCAAATTGCCAGAATGTCATTAGAATAATAATCAGTTAAATTTTCTTTCTATTAATCTGGTCTTTCTTTCATTCCCCTCAACACCGGTTTCCTCCAAATCATCCATTCAAATGTTTCTTACTACTTCTTCTTCTTCACAGATCTCTCGCCCTCATGTGGTAATAAAAAAATTAAATCTTCTCTATTCCCTCCTTTCTTCCTTGTTTCCCTCCTCCTCCAGGTAATTCACCTGTATCGAGGCTCGTTTCCACCTTGGAGCGTCAGATGGGTTACTACCTGATCCAGATGTACATCCCCTCTTGCCTCAT